AAATTGAATATAAAATTTTTATTTTTAAATGTTAAAATTTTTCTTATTTTCAAAATATTATCAATAAAATAATTATTTTATCTTAATTAATAATTATTTTTATTTGAAACACAAATTTATTATTTTTCAAATGTTAAAATTTTATTTGAAAGTTGTAGTTGTAGTTATAATGTTAGCTTTATTTTTTCATTTGTTTGATTCTACTTGGAGAGTTACGACATCATATATGATTAAAATACTGTAAAGAGATCATGTCATTTTTTCATGTACTCCATCAAAAATAAAAAACAAAACTAAGTTACTAGAAATATAATGTTAATCAAGACGATGAAATTATAAATACTATGTAATCCAAAAACATATATCTACCAGCATCATTAAATGGTAGTTATGATCGAGAGTCACTTATTAAATGGTAGTTATGATCGAGAGTCATGACTTGCACGTGCGTAAATTTTACAACTAACTTCAATAAAACATCAACAAGCCATTAAAAAAACAAAACTAAAAACAATTAACAGTTAATTTCAATGGTTTGATTAATTAGAATTGATTTTAATATATTTAATTTCTTTAAAGTAGAATTGGTTCAGGTTTTAAAATTGATTTTACTTAAAATTGTGTTTTATAATTTGAATTTAAATGTGACTTTTACTATAAATTTGCTATTCAATTAATTTTTAATAAGAATTTATTCAAATATAAATCAATTTAGTTTTAACTTAATTTTAAATAGAATCAATTTTATCAAATAAATTCACTCCGAAATGATTTTTTTCCCATCATATAACCAAACAAACGGCAACTCTTCCTAATAACACATTTAGTAATGTATGGCTACTAAACTGTTTGTTCACAAAGTGTGTTTGGTGTTCTACAGTTAAAAAAATGATTTTAAATTATATTGATTAAGTAAATTTGATTATGATTAAAAGTAAATTGAAGGTAAAGAGTTTGTGTTTAAATAAACTACTGAATTGAATAATAAATTTTATTATAAAAATCACTTTTAAATTTAAAAAATTTAAATATTAACTTCAACTAAACATTTCTAAAAAGATAATCAATTCTATTTATAAAAAGAGTGTATATTCTCTTTGAACAACACACTTTGTGAGACATATCATATATTACTCAAAATTTTAAGATGATAAGTGGGTGAATTCTCTCACTTATAAATACTCAAATCTCCATATTTCTAAATAATATAAAACTATCTCGATTAATCACATTTTATAATTCTTTTTCAACCGTGATAAATATTTTTCGAAATGATAAAAGTTGTAGTTGGATTTTTTCTAACCCTCCTCATTTCTTATGCCAATGAAAAGTTTGCATCATATGACTTACTAGAAATGACATTCAAAAGGAGTTTCAAACGATATTTTTTATAAATCAAACTTCCCAGCAGCTTCATTACTAGCTGCATTTTTTAAGATTACATGAACAAAATTTTCATCTCCAATTTATAACTTGGAAAACTAAATTTCACAATGTCTTGGCATCTTTCACAACATGCATATAATGCATCAACTCATTTCACACAAATGATATACCTATAACATAATAAGTTCCACAATATATTAAAGAGAAATTAACTGATTAAGTCCTGGAATCTAGAGCCATGATGGTGGTGAGATTCATAGGGTACATGTACTGATTGCTTCCCCTTAGAATCTGTTGGACAATGATTCTATTAGCCTTCTCAGATGGATGAAATGCATCCCAAAATGCATAAGGTCTCCTGTTTGGACACAAAGTTTGACACAGGTGTACAAAGCCCAACTCCATTGTATGGCCCTTGTCCACAACATGCTATCATTGATGTTACAAATCCTGTCAAGCCCAAACAGAGAGAGAGAGAGAGTTATATCATTTTCATCTTATATATATGTATATATATGTCAGTATGCACATGTCACATACCATATGCTTGAGGGTTGGATATGTAATCCATATGCATTCTATATGCATCAGCAGCGATGAAATATCAGACCCTATTTCTTGGTTAAGACTTCCGATCATATCAACAAGTTGAGGATTATATAGAGATGCAGCTCTTTCTAATTCCACATCACAATCACCATTTCTACTTCTCATTGCTAACTCTGCTGGTGCACACCCCATTGGTCCCCGTTCCTGTCACAAGAACCCTACGTGCTCCCAATCATAAAGTTTCTGCATGTGTACAAAATATCTACATTTCATTTTTCTACAATAACATTATTTCAGTAGGGACACAATCAACAATAATATCACTATACCCGAAGAACTTTGCGGTACTCAGAAATCAGATATCTAACATAATCCGGGAGAGAAAATTGACGAGATCTTGCTGAATAAGGGACTAAATAGTAATTTGTTTACAAAATCATTGCCACCAAGAGTGATTAGTACAAGTCCTCTGTTGACCTAAGCTTCTTGCTCCTTCTGAACCAATGTGTGCACTTACTCTTTTCTGATACACTTGAAATAGCTCTAGTTGTTTGTAGATTCTATTATATGCAACTGCAAAAACATTATTTTATTTTTCAATTATTTAATCTTATGTAACTTTTTTTTTTTAAAGTATAATTTAATGTGACACTTACAAACTGGAATCCTGTATCATTGAGAATTCCAATTCCAGCAGATGCAAAATTGGCACCAATTAGAAGCTTCTCTCCAACTAGGAAAGGACTCAAATACGGAAGTGTTGGTTCTAAGCCAAGCTCCAAACCTATAATTAATAAAATAGTTACACATTAATTATGTCATACACATGTTACCTCTCCCATGCAAATATATCTACACAAACTGTACAAACAAAACAAGTATCATTATTTTAAAATATATAAAACAAAAATAAAAATTAATAATAGTGGTAAACTCGATCATACTGATTAGGTCTGGGATGTTTAGGCCGTTAGAGAAACGTCCGGTAGGTCTGTGAGTTGGATAATCGATGCCATATGGATATGCGTCAGCTCGGGCCGTGGTAGCAAGAAATATTGTTACCACTGTCAACAAGAGAATCTCCGAAAACGAAGAAAGCTCGTGGTTGTTGAGCAGAAACAGAAGCAACTAAGCTTATAATTGCACAAAAACAAAGGAGTAAAGAAGTAGGCATTGCAAGAAGTGTTATTAATTGTATGAGATAGTGAGTTAGATGGGTTTGTATGGAACATGCAAATGGGAGGGGTATATATAATGTTAAATAGACACATAGTAAAAAAGACATAGTCATTAATGTATTGTTCTACCACCTCCGAAATGATTAAAAGCAAACCGCCAAATGAAGATGAATAAAGTGAAAACATTCATCTAACTTCAAGTACAAGTAATTTCTAGCCGCCAATGTAGCCAGAATTTAATTTTAAATGACTTGGTCAGAATATTTATTTTTCATCGACTTCACAGACAAACATGGCCAGGTAAGTTAATTTACTACTGTGACAAGTAAGTTTTGAATTTACATTTCATCTAGGTAGTATTTTCTTGTATTAATGTGGGGAAGAGAGAGTCGATAGTTAAACATAAGTGTAGATCCAAAAACAGTTGATATTTATTTAAAACTAGATAGGAGATGGCCCTAATATGTGTATACTTGAGGTTAATAGAATGGTAGAGTTCTGTTCTGTCAGCTTTGTTGTCAAGCCACTTCTGGTAATTTGTTTGTTAGGATTTCGTTGCTATAGCATCACCTAGTGTGATTGCATGATACTTCCTAAATATATTTTTCTATTTAGAATTTCCTTTATTAAGACATCTATGTTGAAATTGTTATAAATTTCTAGAATTCTCTTAGATAAAAATGTTAGAAGAGGTTAAAACTATTATGATACTAATCTCTCGTGAAACATATAGAAAAAATTAAACTTAGAAACATTCGCCACTATTGAGAGGTTGATGACTTGATCTTATAAATAGGCAGTTAATACTTTGTAACCAATCATCTAAACAACCAATGTCATCATAACCATACCGTTCTTATAAGCTTCTTTCTAACCAATTTTCTAAAATTATCTTATATCAACCATTCAAATATCAACAATGGCATCAGAGCAGTCATACATTAGTCATACATTGAGCATTGTTATATTACATATCTGATATTCCAAAATATTTTCAAGTATTTCTAAAAATTTCTCTTGTACTATTAACTCACTCTAATAATTTTTCTAAGCTATGGATAACACTACCACTCAATCATCGTCTATTTATGTTTCTTTTTTCAATGGTGAAAAATAATGATTTTCGGCGTATTAAAATGAAGATATTTTTTTTATCTCAAGATTTATGAGACATAGTAGAAGAAGACTTCATTGCTCCCGCATATACTTCAGCTCTTAATGTAGCTCAAGAAAAAGATTGAAGAAAAATAAACAGAAAAATTCAAAGTCTTTGTTCACTTTGCAACAAGCAATGACTAGTGTAAATTTTTCAAAAATTATGGGAACTAAGACTATCAAAGAAGCGTGAAACACGTTGAAGGAGGAGTTTCAAGGAAGCGACACGATACATGCTATTAAACTTCAATCTCTAAGAAGAGATTTTGAACTATTGAAAATGAAGGAGTTTGAGGCAGTTAAAGTTTACTATTCTAAAGTTAAAGAAATAATTAATCAAATGAGAATTTTTGAGAGGATATTCTTGACAAAAAAATTGTTCATAAAATTATAATTACTATGTCCCTAAAATTTGATCCAATCGTAACAACGATACAAGAAATCAAATATTTGTCCATTCTATCAGTGACAAAACTAGTGGACTCTCTTGAAGCGTATCAACAAATATTGTTTAAGCATAAAGAATATACACTTGAAAACGATTTCAAGTTAAAACTCAAATTTCATCCCCAAGATAATGAAAGTGGAAGAAAGAAAAATTATGGAGAAATTTCTAGAAGAAGAGAAGTTTCTAGAAATTTCCTCAAGAACAAACCAGATAAAAATTCTACGTGCAATATCTGCAAAAGACTAGGCCACCCTGAGAAATATTGTTGGTACCATAATATGTCACAATGCAACCATTGCAAGAAGTTTGGACACAAAAAAATTATCAAAACAAATATAAGAATCAAGATAATATCGTAGAGGATCATGATAAAGAACAACATATGTTCTATGTCACTCAAGACTCAATCAGAGAAAAAGGAAAAAAACTGGTTCTTGGATAGTGGTTGCAACAATTATATGGTCAAGGATGAGTTATTTTCAAAAGCATTGACGAGTTTGTCAAAGTCAAAGTTCGACTGAGAAATGAAAGTGTTGTAGAATCAAAATGCAAAGACACTATCATGATGTCTTACTTGTTCCCAACCTAAAAGAAAATCTTCTAAGAATTGGTCAAATGATGGAGAGAGCTACATATTTTACTTTCAAAAGGGTGTATGCAAAATCTTTGACAACAAAAATAAAAAGATCAAAATAGCCCAAGTAAAGATGGAGAAGAGAAATAGAAGCTTTCCTCTAAATTTAAAAAATGTAACTAACATTTCCTTTAAGGTTTAAGTTGATGAATCATGGCTCAGACATCGACAACTTGGCCACTTCAACACTCATGCCTTAAAGTTGTTATATCACAAGAACGTGAAGAGAGATCTTCCAAGCATAAAGGAGAACTATGAAGCTTACTAAGAGTGTCTCCTCGGTAAGCAACACTGATTTACATTCTCAACGGGAAGAACATGGAGAGCGAAAGACCTATTGGAGCTAACATTAATTGACATTTATGGACCGATAAGGACACCGTCACACGAGAACAATATGTACTTCATACTCTTTATTGATGACTTCTCTAGATTGACATGAGTTTATTCACTAAAAGAAAAATAATAATTTTTTGGAGTATTCAAAAAGTTCTAGGCCATTGTTTAAAATCAGAGTGGAAAAATGATAAAAGTACTAAGAAGTGATCCCGGAAAAGAGTATACCTCCCGCGAGTTTGAAATTTTTTATAAGGATGAAGGCATAGAGTGATAACTTACAGTTATGCAGAGGGTAGATTGATGCTCAAGGAGAAGGAAGTTCCTAATACATTTTAGGCTAAAGTAGTCTACACTGTTGTTTAAATGCTCAACATTGTTGGAACATGTTTTGCTCTACACCTATAATCCTTATGTTTTAATGATAACAAAGTATAAAGAACAATTTTATACACTAATAATTTCTTTAAGTATGCAGAATATGAAGTTAAGAAAAGAAAACTTTGACTTTGAACAAAGAAAATTATGAACAAAACAAAGTTTGAACATAACAAAATCCAAACAAATCAGACTCTAAAGAAATAAGACTCTAAAGTCTGCATAACTATTGACAGCTGTCGTAAAACAGCTCTCAAGCAAAAACTTGAGTAAGTATCTTTTATCGTCTCTACAAGGATTAGTGTTATTGATCTCATTCAATCGTTACTACGTTTCTAAGCTTGTTTGTAAAAATATATTTAAAGCGAAAGGAAAAAGAAATAAACAACGGAAAATTAAAGATCTTGGAGAAGGGGAGAACATGCTAGGATTGGTTTTCATAACTAGAAAATATGCCTTCTATCAGTCAGTTATACACAATTTATTTATTTCTCAATACCATCATATATCACTCACATAGGCGTTCGTGTCCAAACGCCAACGAGGTTTCAACCATATCAAGCAATATGGAAGTATTAAGAATCGATACAAAAGTGAACATTAAGCCTAAAGCTATGTCTAGAATTTAAGACCTAACAAATGCTAAAGTATCGATATCGATTCCTAAACAGATTGCGTCTAACGCCATGACCAATAAACAAAAATATACAATATACATATTAAACTGATCTATCACATGTGAACTTCTCAATCATTCACAATTATCATAAATCCCTCTTCGACATCGATTGTGTCCAACCAAATGAAGAGGAATTTAGTGTAACTAACTCAATCGTTTCCAACCTAGTTTTACGGTAACATTAATAATAAGATACAAATGAATATCAAATGCCACCTTTGTGTCCAGAGTATGGTATTGGATAGTCAAAAATATTGGATTAGAGGTTTTGAAATGGGTTTGTCAAAAGATTCCTAAAACCTAGGTTTTACATAAACAAAAACGAAATCAACAAAATCAAATAATCAACTAGTTCACATACAATGAAATAGAGTAAATACATATGAGTACGACTTATTACAACCATAACCAACAAAGAAGAGATCCTAACCACTCATGGTCTCTAACCACGACGAGCGGAAAGTGAAGAGGGAGAAAAATCAACGAGGTGTCCCAGCGGGTAACTTAGATCCAATTCCAATCCGTAAGAATCAACTTATTTGTTGTTTGTAGCACTTATCTCTCTCTCTCTCTCTCTCTCTCTCTCTCTCTCTCTCTCTCTCCAAAATGTTTCTCATCTCCCTCTAGGTTGCCGCCATGAAGAAAGCTGATGAAATGGCCCAACAAGTGTGACAAATCACTAAAATAACATTGTTATCGCAGTAGGGCGCACTAAGTGTGGTCAAAATTTTCAAAAAACACGGCTTCTGGTGCTCCTAAGGCGCGCTTAGCTCGGTACAAGCGCTTAGCTCAGTCTGCTGTACTGAAAAAATAAATCTTGTTTTTATCATAACTTCTGAATCACAACTCCGATTCACGCCCGGTCGGAAGCATTGGAAAGTTTAGGCAATGTTATACAAGACAGTGACTAAATATCACTACTTGAATACCTACAAACAAAGTGAAAAACTATCAAAAGATACAATATATACATGAAAATGATTATACATAATATACACATATTTACATACAAGTTGAGGTTTATTGATGAAAAGCAAACGAATTAAGCCGATGAGTGCTAATTATTCACACTAAAATTTATAAAAAATTTAGAACTCATCAAACTCTTCACAAATTTAGCTTATTTTTCCTCAAACAAGAACTAACCAACTCAAGAAAATAAAAGCGAAATTTTGAGAATTCACAAATCAACAGGTTTTTACAAATGAAAACAAATGTGATGGTTCAAATGAAAATGGCACACACAAAGCATAATGCTTACCACTAAAATATGACGATAACATAATCACGAAACTAACACTAAATATAAAAGTTATGCCAAACATTCCAAAATGATACATGTTCAATCACGAAACACACCTAGCAA